CAGAGGAAAACAGAGGAAGACGTTTTTTGGAGTCTCTGCTTCTAACTAGAAACGGAGAGAGAGAGAGAGAGAGAGAGAGAGAGTTTGATGCTTTGGGGGTTGGTGGGTTTGGGTACTTATGGTAGTGGCTTGGAGCTCAACCTTTCCTTTGCATCAAATTGCATTACTTGGGTGCCAAGGTTTAGCACCGTAGAGTAGACCACCATCAAGTAGTGTAAAAAGGGCCAAGGCTGCAAATATTTCAAGAAAGTGGGAATCACGTGGTTTCAGTGGCGCGAAAATTAACTCTAAGTGTAGTTCAAGTGATAACATAAGTGAGTTATAAATTCAAATGTTCTGAATTTGAATCTTGATAACTCTTTAGAATCAGACTATAATGAATTTATCTCTTATGAATACTTTAATCTCGACGTAGATGATCAACGTAAATATTCTTGACAGTTAACCTAAAAAAAATATAGTATAGAAAATTGATGATCAAACACATGATTTGATGATGCAAGAAAGGCAAAATGAGAAAGAGTATTGGTCCTATCCGATACAAACCATACATTTTTCTTTTCTACTTCCATCATTTTTTATCGTGTTTAATCATTTATTGTATAATTGCATTGGTAGTTATGGGTGTCTACCCGAACTCATGAAGAAGACCTAAGAAGTTTAATAACGAATGATTAGATTTGTTCGCGATTGATAAAATTAGATATTGAGGGGATCCGAAATAAAATAGTACATTCCATAAAAATAAGATGCATCGGAACTGAAAAGGGTACATACATTAAGGAATTGGCTTTCTGATCGATCTCAAGTTATATGGAGAGATGGACAAGTCTTTAATCAAATTAAACAAATCTGTTTTTGCTCCAATAGCGACCTTTGAAGCGTGTAATCGAATATTTTGTAAGGGAAGTGAATCAATGTAATTTTTCAGCAGGAATTACTAACCACCATTGTTCAATCAGTTGATTATGATATAGTGAAAGAAATTTGGGCGTCCTAACTTTTCTCTATGACTTTGTGAGCTGCATCCAGTTAACTTGTCCCCATAGCCCACGTTTCTCAGACGATTACAAAAGGACCATTGAACCTCTCATGAATGTGGAATTATATCAACTAGTTTCACACTACGTGTCACAAGTTCTCTCTCTCTCTCTCTCTCATGTGAGTTAGGGAGATAAAGTTCGATTGAGCTTAATCTTGTTTCACACTACTACGATTGAGCTTAATCGTCAACACGAATTATAAACACTCTTGTCCGATCAGTTGATTACGATAGAGTGAAATAAGTTATGATTTCTTCACTTTCTCTCTCCTTCAACATCAATGACTTTGTGAGCTGCAGAACATCATGATAAAATAAGTCACCCTTTAGATTGACTCCCACAAGAAGATCTACTGGCAAACCAATTTGTCTCATACCCCCACATCAAATTTCTGGTACGATTCCAATTGGACCAATGTACTCTCATGAAGATGAAAACATTTCCACTTCATTCACACTAGGTGTCATAAATTGTATCACAACTCTCTCTCTCTCTCTCTCACACACACACACTCACTCATGTGGTACCAGCACAAAAGGCCAAATGCATTAAAGCATGTAGGGCAAGCATGGAAAGTGAGTAACCCAGTAAGGGAGGAAGAGAGGTTGTAATTTTGCTTCTTACAAAAAATGGGCTGGAGAAAAGATAACCTTAGTCCAAACACACAACAAAATGTAATTATTTGGAAGTTTTAAGGCTTCCAAAGATAGTATTGGGCATAAAAAATTATAATTTTTTTAGGTCATTTTTTTTTTCATCAAATTAAATCGTAACATTACCCTTATATTTTAATAACTTCTTAAAATAACTCTTCCATTAGCATATATATACAAAGGAAAAGTACATTCACAGCAGCCACAGGAAGAAATGGGTATGAAATGTGACCCACACATGCCACGAATTCAATTCAACGTTGAGCTAGCTGTTCACCGCCCCTTATCCAGAGAGCGAACAATGACACCTAACAACCTCGACTAAAATTCCACTCAAAGCCGAAAAAGCAAATGGTGTATGAACCAACCCGACGCAACTTGGCCTTTGGATAACACCCTTCGCTGTCTTATTATATGTTCCACATTGATTTTATGTGTCTCCTACACTCTATACATACACGCAACAACATTATGCATTATTCATTTGTATTTCGCTGAAAAATAAATGAATCTTCAACCCTAAACGCGTAGAGACCATAAAATTTATTTCAAACACGTCAACTGAAAGAAGTATCACTCTAATACACACGGGGGCTTGGTGATGGTGGGAAACACTTTTTTCCCTAATAATATTGAGAGAAGCCGAGAGGAAATGTTTGAAAAATCAAAATAAAGTAGACATATAATTTCATACTGATCTGCAAATTTTTGTAATAAGAAATTTTCTTGTCCGTTTAGCTTTGAATATTGGTATCAGCACATAACTATAACTTCCTCTTGAAAATCGATTTATAGGAGAAAGGTATCCAAACGAAGTGATGAATACCCACTTAAAATTCGTACTTAATGGATGCAGCATTGTAAAGCTACAAGCTTGCTAAAAATTCGTATGTTTACGTAGCCATTATAAAATTTAAAATTATTGAGCCTCCATGCCTTCTGGTTTGCAACATTCAACCACAAGTAGATGAAAAAGTTTCTGTCTTTTGCCTCCCTCCAATCCTCAGCGACCCACATAAAAGTATTATTATGGTGGATGACATTGCACACACACAAAAAACAGAAAAAAACCATGTAAGCATGATGTCCAAGACAAAGACCAATAAGGTCATCAATGGAGCCCAGGCCTTGGGTTCCACGCTTCTTACAAAAAAGAAAAAGGTCCTTTCCATCTGAAGATAAGGTTATAACACCAGCCTAACCCCCTCATGTCGCGCTCTCTCTCTCTCTGTAATCCAAGTTAATTGCCAGCTATATTCCAACCATGTATATTCATTTTTTTATTTTTTTTGATCAGCAACAAGGTATATTCTCAATATTCCATTTTCAAGAAAAATACTGTCGTCCTTGACTTGATATCTTCAAGTCTCTCTCTCTTTCTGTGTAATAATACTTGTGTTTTAGACATTAATAATATGATTAATTGATATTGTGAGTAAAAATTAATTATTTAAAATTTTTTTTACGTAATATATAAATGGATTTGAATGTATAACAAGAGAATTGAAAAATAAAGAGAAAAAGAAATCTGAAAATTCATGTCCTCCTCCTCTAATAGTGAAGGAGGTGGTAACGTTTCACAATAAAATAAAGGATCTCATTAGATCTTAGCTTAAATATCATAAAATAGAAAAGAAACACTATTATTCTTATATAAAACCCTTGTTCCCTATCATTCTCAACATATCGATATATCATAGTTCACCTAAAAATACCCTTTTTTTAAAACACAAAAAAAAATATTTTTTTCTGTATCATTTTTCACTTCCCAGTCATAGTTCCCAATAAATAAATAAACAAGCAAGGTATTGGGTAAAAAATTGAAGAAAAAAAAGACAATAAAAATTCACACGCACAGACACATATTTATTTATTTCCTGTGAAATGCTGGTCCCAAAAACAAAACTTTACTTTTCTTTTTTCAATAGTTGGGGTGTCCGGGCCTACATGTATCTCGATTAATTATCTTTTCGGTTCTATCAAAAATTGGCTATCCACACCGAAATTAGGTTATTTACGAGTATGACTTGAGCTCAAAAAATTGCTAAAATTCGAATTCAAGATGTTTGAATTTGTGGCTCATTCCACGACAGTTTCAAAGGCTAGTCCAGATGCACGAATGCTCCCATCCCATAAATCTCTATCACCCAATTTCATCCAAATTCTAGATGATGTTACCCCCTCTTACATCAGATTCAATCAAGGTCCAAAAAATTATAGATTTGGAAAATTCAAATTTTTGTTACCAAAAACACTTAGCCTATTGAATTTTGAAAATTAATGCTTGGGGACTATATTTTGCCCATAGTATCGATTCTCTTTTGGGAAAGAACATCTTGTATTACCCCTTTGCATCAGCAATATATAATCAGAAAGAAGGATGGATAGATTATTACCCTTAGAAGCACTTGAGCTTTTGCTCTTGCTGATGTATTCCATTGCACAACTGTTTTCTGGTGATTTGTGCATTGATATTAATGATTGAGCTCTGAAAAAGCTGGGTTTGCCTGTTTGACGAAGGCCTATAAACATCTAATCCATATTGGTATAGTAGGGGGTACTCTATTGCTTGACAAATGACCTCTTTATCATTGTATTTTGCTTGAGATCTTGTGTGAAGGGGATCTTATGATTTTTTTTCCCTTTTATTGTATGAGCATCATGTTCTATTCGATAAAATTTTGTTTTATTTACCCAAAAAAAAAAGAAACATCTTATTGAGTTAAAAAAGAAATAAGATCAACAATTGCTATCTTGCAACAAAAGCTTACCAGAAATTCAGACATCAATGTCTCAATTCCAAAAGCAACCAAACACAAGTATAACATCAATACCATGATTACAAACGAATACAAAAACAAACATGTACTTTATTCCCATAAAAAGTCACAGAAACAAGTAGATGTAGAAACAGTTGAGGACCAAAAGAGACTCAAATACATAAACAACCCCCTCCCCCCTCCCCCCTCCCCCCTCCTCCAACCTATGATTCCCTCTGTAAAAGTGGAAGAAACAACAGTGGAAGAGGTATATACTGCACAATAACTAACAACTTAACAGAGCTAAACTCGCACTGACACCTAAAATACAAATCAAATATGCAGAAATATCAAAGTCCTGATGAAAACCCTTATAATTCCCACGTACCCACAATCCAATCCGAACACAAAAATTACCATCGGATTGACTGAACCAACAAGACTTAAGCTGGATCTAAAAACCAACACTATTTCAGAGCATCTACTTATAAAACACAGCCTACAACAAAGAAATGAGGACCCATCATGGAAATGATGAGTCTATTCTATGGTGTTTCGGAGTGATCGGAACATCCATCAGAGCAGTAAGCGCTCGGTGGTGAGCTCGCGGAGGCGGAGCTACCACCACCACCGCCGTCTCTCGCCCACCTCCTCAGTGCTTCCCCTACCTTTGAGGTCACAGAGACTACAGTTCCCATCAAGCTCTCAAAAATCTGAGCTTTGATCTGGCCCCTCTTTGGAGGAAGGTTTGTGGTTTGCGTTTGGGGGGGATTGGAGGAAATATTTGCCATTGATCCGCCGGTGATCTTCTTTGAAACAGAGTGTTGCTTTCTGTGGTACAAATTAAATAGGAAACAAAGTTTCAATCAGAAAACAGAACAAAAAACAGAGGTTAACAACGGTTTATGTCAGATAATCAAAAAGAAAAGGGAAAAGTAGAGCAGAAATAGTAATATGGGGTAGCAAGAAGAAAAGCAGAAATACTTTCAGACTTACACAAGAGGAAGAAGAGTAGAGAGAGAGAGAGAGAGGGAGGGAGGAAGCCCCCCGAAGAGAGAGTTCTAGTTGAAGGAAGTCAGAGTGCCATAACAGGAAGAGGCCGGGGATATATAAAGAGGCCAGTGACGCGTAAGAATTCTACCTTTTCGTGAAGTAATGTTCGGTAGAGTTATAAATTAAACTTAATCTTTTATTAATTTTATTATGAGTCCCAACGTTATCAAAATTTAATTTTTAAATATATTTTTTAATTTCACGTAATATTGTTCGTTCATAAATTGGAGCACCCCTGTTCACCATAAAACCATTCCTAAATTGATCTATAGTTCAAAAAAAATAAAACTATTAAATTAATCTGATGAGTCAAGTTAATTATTAATCAAATTCATAAATTTTAGATTTATATCATATAACTTATGTTAATAAGCTATCTAGTCGATAAATTTTATTACAAATTAAATTATAAATCGTAAATAAATGGGTACCATTGCCATTTTTACACCTTAGAACAAAGAGGAGTGCCCCATTTGTTGAGAAGTTGGAGTGCTATAAACACGAAGACGCTGTTTCCTTGCAAATCTTATACCCGAAATGAGTCTAATATTCCACATTGACACCGTCCATGTTAGCCTGCAAGTTGCAACTCTTTTTCTAGAATAGAGTTAGTACAGCACCAAATAGGGGTGGGGTCAAAAAAAATTGTGTCCACATGAGAACGAAAATTTTTAAATTTTTCATTTTTTTTTTACATTCAATAAAAATATAATAATAATTTATATTTAACTACATTCTATTTAATTAAAAATAGATCATCAATCCCAACTAAATTCAAAAATTCAATGTTTGTAAGTATCGTAGAGTTGCCTTTAATTGGTTAGCTAAAGACAAATCACATTTCATTGGATAATATGGTAGACCACGCAATCATGAAGGTTGATAACGAACCCAGTCCGCCACATGGAGGCCAATGGTTGGGTCCTTTAGTCTGGTGTGTACAACCCTGGACGTTCTTTTTGACTACATTCATCGCATCGGAGCACATGAAATCGGCCAACAAGTACTAAAATTTTAAAAATTTAATTTAATAATTTAATTTGAAATAATAAATTTAAAATTTTCAAATATCTTATATTTAGAAAAATGATTTTTAAACTATGACTCTTATATTAATTAAGCTCTTGAACTAATTTTCGTATTAATTAAACTCTTAAACTCTAAAATTTTAATAATTAAACCCTTTTGTCAATAGCAGCTAGATTTTTAAACAAAATGTATCACGTGTTCACCACATAGATAACAAATTATGAGTATTTTGGATTGTTTCTTCGAAGAGTCTACATTTATTTTAACTATTTTTGATGAGTCAAACCCAAGGACACAATTCCGGTTATAAGCCCAATTTAAATAAAAAAACCCAAGTAGACGAGATGCAATGGGTGTAGCTCAAAAGAGGTCTACGCCCAATCAAACTTATTAGGGTTTGAGGAGTTACATCACCAAACAGTAGGCAACGCCATCCCAAGAATCTTATCTATACCGCCTTAAAAAAAAGTAAACCACGTCATCCTTTGACTTGATCTTAAGGAGAGTTCTGTAATCGCCTTAGACGTTGAGAGGATAACGCCAGCTCTATCAAATCAGTTACTTAGTAACTGAAAATGCGTCTTAATCTGTTGAGAGACACTATAAATTATAAGTCCTGTCAAAACCTAGGGGATATCGAACACATATGCTATCACTCTCATCTCTCTCTCATAGCTTGTACCTTTATTGCTCCTGCCTGATCTCCCTACACTCTTTGAAATAATAAAACGTCAGGCCATCATAACCTTTTATAGTGGAATAGGTCACGTTAACCAAATTACTCTACATTTTTTTTTTGCTTGTGTCACTCTCTTTTACTTAATTACTGCACTAATCATTAATAACTCAATAGGTGGTGCATAAAATTAATTTGTGCATCATCAATTTTTTACACCAGATCAAAGATCTTGTTAATCTGTTTCATTTGATGGGGGTATACAAGAGGTTTAGATTTAATGTTTCGGTTAATGAGTATACGGATTGAGGTTATTCGTCTAATAAGTTTCGAACGAATAATCTTAAATACTCCTAATTTATTTGTCCATGTGATAAGAACATGATACATTTAGTGTAATTTGTCAGACTAAAATTATCTTCATTATTTTTTTAGCAATGCTATGCTGACCAAAATTTAATTAACGTAGTATTAGTGTTATCTTTTTTGTATAATTTTTTCCACCCTATAACCATACAATGGCTTGATAAAACCCGACACACGAAGCTGGCATTACCCATTGGCTTGTGGATGGAGCCTCCGCCGACCTTTACGTAGAAGTGTGAGACGACATATGACTCTCTCATAGGCAGAGAAAGTAAGGCATAGAAATTAAGTTTAAGAACAATAATGCTAGCAATAATCTGAAACAACCGCGTATACCAATGAAGAATATTTTTTTTTAGGTCTCAAAATAGTAACGAAGATGATTAAGATAAAAAAAAATAGAAATATGTCCTTTAAAAGGTATGTGGGAACACAACGAGAGACTGTTTGGAATGCGGGTTTGAGAGAGATTTAGATTGTGGGATGAGAAATAATCCTCTTAAACTCATGTTTGATAATTCATGTTTAGTCTAAGGTTTGAAAACTCAATCCGTTGAATGGTCCAATCATAAAACTCACATACTTGGGTTTCATAAAATTCAAAAGGGGGTTTTCATACGTGGGTTAAAGAGTTTAGTATACAAATGATATTTATACCCTCATATATCTTATATACTTCATATATACAAATTAGTTAAGAAATATAATAATTATTTATATATAAATATATTATCATAATAATCATATATTTTTCTCCATACAAAATATAAATATGAACAATATTGAATATTGAATTTTTTTTGAATTAAACCCGAATTTAATCGAGTCAATTTAAATTCTTTCCAAAATAAATATCAAACAAGCTCAAGAGTGGTCCGAAATTTGCTTTAGTATCTTTCTAGAATGTGGTTGGGGTTTATTCAATGTCATATGGGTCTACAACTTCACCAGTTCCCTGGGTCCCAAAAGGCATGATTGCCCACCGACATCTGCCATGGATTCGGAATTGTCAGACTTTAAGGATTGTAGTTAGGAGATAGCCTCCCGTACTGAAGTACCAAAAATTATAATCTTTTTAAAATTAAATTATAAGTTGTACAGTGAATGATCGATTTTAGAAAAAAAAATTTCAATCACATTTCATTATTATATTTTCAAAAACATTTCTTCTAGTTTTAAGATATTCACTGGCATCCCCTATTAAATTAAAGACATTAACTAAAGGTAATCTTTCAGGTGATTCAATTTGATTGAATATTTGATTAAATCAATTGCATGAAGAAAGTTAATTATAAAACTTGTCTTTAGGCGAAATAGAGTAGGTCGTTAAGTCGCACGGCAATAGTAAGTATTAGAGACTAATTATTGGGCAGAAAAATCCTTGGAAAAAAACCAGGCAAGTAGCAAGGCCCACCAACAAGAGGTAGACCAATGAGTAAATTAAGTAGAAGTGTAATTCCTAAATAAAATATTGTTCTTGAAGTATCAGAGCTGTAACATATAATTTATTAAATTAGTTATGATATATTTTATAAAAAAACTTCATCCACACTTCCTTTATATAAACATATCTTTAATGAGATTCCTTTTATTTTTTAAATTTTTTTACGTATTAAATTCGGGTCAATTAAAATTCGATTCGAGATAATTAAAGTTTATTTTCTATGTATTAAAATTCGAGTCGATTAAAAATTATATATTTTTACGTATTAAAATTTGAACCTATTAAAATTCTATTTGTTTCGACTAAAATTCATTTTTAATCAGCTTGAATCAAATTTTAATCAATTCACATTGAATTTTAATCGGTCCAAATTTTTATACATAAAAAATATAAATTTTAATGGACTAAAATTTTACTATGTAAAAAATGAATTTTAGTTGATTTGAATTGAATTTTAACTGACACAAATTTTAATATGTAAAAGAATATAAATTTTAATTGACGCAAAAATAAATTTTAATCGGCATTAAAAACTCTGGTAGAACTTAAATCAGCTCGAATTTTAATAAATAAAAAATAAATTTTAATAGACTTGAATTTTAATACGTCAAAAAAAAATTAATCAACTTGAAAAATTAATCAATTCGGGTCGATTTTACGTAAATAGGAAATCCACGTAAAATAAAAACGAAAGTCCCAAAAAAGTGAGATGAAGAGAAAGCAACCACGATTATAACCACCAACCACCAACCCCCCCGGGGCGCTAGTAGCACTAATTCAACCAGAGAAAGCTTTCAAGGCTTGCTGGTTTTGTGCTCATGTGTAAGTGACAAATGAAATGCCACCGAGAGGATACCACAAGTGTTCAACACAAGTACACACACCCGGGGGCAGAGCCATACAGGCTTATGTGGAGGCAATAGTCCCCACTCAATTTTTTTTTTTTTTTGCAAATTAATTTTTAGATAAAATTCGATATATCCTACATTTGCCCCTACAAAAAAATCTCATGCACTTTAATCTGTGTAATCATGTCTTATATTTGGAGTAAGTTTCTTAACTCTCAATTACGTGGACGTATAAATGTTTATCTAGTTGAATCCCACGACGAGTTCAAAAAGCCATTCTAAGTTCTTTGTGCTCTTTCCCTATATCTAGTCCCCCTTCTCTCACTGTCTTTCCCTATATCCAGGCCTCAGTATCATCGTTAAATGTCGTCTATTTGCCAAACCAACGATAGCAATGTACTAAGTCTTTAAATTAAGTTCCCAATTTAGGTATATATATGGTATTATTGTTGGTACAATCTACCCCCACTACTATAAATTTCTAGCTCTGCCCTGCATGCACCCAACTACTAATGGAGTGGATAGAGATGTCAAGACCAAGAAAATTTTTCTTAATCAGTCCGGTCAATAACAACTAACAGATCTTATCTACCATAAAATAATTTACAGCATATTAAAACCCCATTTATACTCGAGTTGTTGCACTAAATAACAAAACCATCACATTTAATAGCGCATAGGGTGCGTTTGGTAACATTTTCGTTTTATTTTTGAAAAAAAAAAACAAAAAAGTTTTATTTTTCCTGTGATAAATATGAAACATATATATTTGATAGTTATTTATATTTAAAAAATTATAAAAACAAAAATAAAAAACATATTTGGTATTATACAAAAAATCCACCGCCCAACACCACCACTAACAACCACCCAACCCCATATCTAACCACTGAAATCCACCACTCACCATTCCCAAACCCCCAATATCCACCATCCACCACCCCCAAAACCACCTGAAACCCATCAGCCCCACCCCCACCCCCGAAAACTCACCCTGAACGCCCCCACTCCCAAAAACCCACCCTAAAACTACCCAACCCACCCCCAAACCACCCAACCTCACCCTCGAAAACCCACCATCCCCCACCCTCAAAAACCACCACCCCTGAAATTAAATAGTCTGCCAGAGCTCTTTGACGAAGAGGCAGAGCTTCCAGTTGGCGGTGGCGAAGGCGAAGGGACAGAGCCTTTAGTTGGGTAGAGACGTCGGTTGAAATTTGAGAAGATGGAGGAAAGTTTCCTTCATTTTGGCTTTTTATATAGTGAGGGAAGAAAAAAGGTTTTTTTGTTGTTAATGAGGTTTGAAGTCTAGACTCTCTATCTTTCACCTATTTTTTTTTTATGTTTTCAAAAACATAATTTTGAATGTTTTTAAAAACTGACATTGTTTTTAAAATGGACAAGCAAAAATAAGACGAAAACATTTACCAAACATATTTTTATTTTCATTTGTCTCAAAAATTGAAAGCAAACAGAAACTTGCGGTTACCAAACGCATGCGGTTACCAAACACAACCTTAATAAATAAGAAGAAATCATTCCCAAGCTACTCAGCATTCAAAAGAATCTCGATTGTTCGAGTCGTTTAAGAGAACAGAAAGCTCAGACATGTCATTCTAACTCCA